TTGGAATTTCTAGGGAACAATATGGAAAGAGGGTTTGGAAAATTTGACACTAAGAGAGAGTGAAAGCAAGACGGACAGAGGAAAACAACGCACGATCTATGTAAGAGGTTAAGCAAATAGATGGCGAAGCAAAGGTGTTGGAGTATTAAAGCAAAAGCGAAATATATTAAGAGCTACAAAAACAGAAAATTGTAGAGACATTATAGCAAAAAAGCACGCGTCACATAAAATAAGAATGGTTCCCAAGATTTTTGCCCGGTATTGCTCACTTTCGTATTTTCATGATCAAGACATAGCGATGCCTAAGCGATATACATGAATAAATGGTAAATGTGTGCGTATATATCTGTGTTTTAGCCGCAAGAAATGTTCACGATAGATATAACAACGGCCTAGTACTGGAAGAATTGTTCTAGAGTGTTTTGCATAAATAATAACGCATTTATTCACTTCTCCACAAGGCAAGAAAGAAATATTTTGTCTCTATATATTTAACTTTTGTATCTTCCTACTAATGTACATATCTATCTATCTATCTATCTATCTATCTATCTATCTATCTATCTATCTGTATAACTATCCGCTTATTTCTAGGTGTGACGGGGTGGCTAGCTAAGCTAATGCCTATTGAAAACACCTGCTCAGGCAAATTTGTTTTCGTTTAACACGCAAAGAGCGATCCACACCGTGGTTTATACTGCCACTATGATTCGTTATTTTCTTGGAAACTGTACATACTCTGGTGTGATGAAAAATTTGAACAAGCCTGTATATGTAAAGACCACAATCAACATGCGATAGATAATAATATTGGTTACATGTTATCAGTAACACTCGTAGACTGCTCTGAAATACATATTTATTTTAAATATTTTTAATTTATCATAAATATTTAAAGTATTGCTTCTTATGTTCAGTGATATTTTATTTAGGAATGTTTCTTTGTTATAATGATTATTTATAATATATTTTTGGTTAATGTTTTATAGTAGCTGTATAATTTGTCTTATACAAATATCACTGGAATGTTGGAATACGGTTTTCTTGTTATTTGTAGAGTCAGATAAGTGGCATGTTAGTCGATAGGATAGAGTTGTAATTGTGTAGCCAATGCACAGATTCTGTACATTTTTTTTAATTAGTCATAATATTGAAGACACTAATTCTTAATGAGTATAAAAATCCATATACTACATAATTTGTACTTTAATCGTGCAGGGTTATTATTATTATTATTATTGATGTATGAATTTTTTAATAACATTTTCAAATTGTTTAATGTTATTATTGATTTGATTAAAATTTAATATGTTGTATTAATTTTATCATGATATTTATCTGAGTATAATGACAATTTGTTGATTATATATTTGGGAATCCATTTTTAATTAGAGTTTGTTTATGTTAATGTGCACTTTATGTAAATTAAGTGGGCTCTACCAAATATGTTTTAAAATTCTATTTCTACCTATAAATGTATATAGGAAAGTAAACCCATCTATCTATCTATCTATCTATCTATCTCTCTCTCTCTCTCTCTCACTCTCTCTCTCTCTCTCTATATATATATATATGTATATAAAGAGAGAGAAAGAGAGAGAGAAATGCGGTGTGTGCGTTCCGAGAAATAAGTCTTTTAGCACACTCGTTTCTGTTATAATAATAATATCATTCATTTTTAACGTGTACTTCTTTTGTACACCGTATCACATCCGGGTGTGGTTGATCATGGTTATCCACAACATCCTATCCTCTGTAGCTGTTAGTAATGTTCTGAATCTTTGCCAATTATGCCTATTTTTAAATTCATTATTCATTGTCATTTATTCTTGTTTCCTTTCTTCACAGTATGTCCTATAAGCGTTAAATCGCCCATAATGCAAATTGTTCTCTATGTAGATGGCTCCATATACATTATTCTATATATTTTTAGGAATATCTTCGTTGTTAAACGCATATTTTCTTTTGATATCCTCTTCTTTCCTCACATATACCATACATATAGTAACGTTCTAGTTTATATATATATATATATATATATATATATATATATATATATATATATATATATATATATATATATGTGTGTGTGTGTGTGTGTGTGTATATATATATTTATATATATATATATATATATATATATATATATATATATATATATATATATATATTATCCCTCAACAGTCGGAGTCTTCACGTGCTGGGTAGAGATTGAAATTTCTGGGTAGAAATATCTGGATGACGCAATGCTGGCACAATCCATATATTAGACAGGGATTCCGTTTTTTATTTAAAAATATATATATATATATATATATATATATATATATATATATATATTGCATTTAATATAGACAGGGTTCGTATTTTATATTTACAATAAACGTGGATTAATGGTATCTATTAAAATAGACAGACCTAAGACGATATAAAAAAAAATAGTTTATTTTTAAGTTAGGTTGATTATTTTATATTAAACATAAAGAAGGATTACTGTTGAGATGTTGTGAGTTTCCCGCGTGTCGGTGTATGAATCAAGACAAACACAGTTGTAGAGGAAAATACTGGTATATTCATAAAAGCAATTAACAATAGAGTGATTAGTAGAACGAAGGTTGGTTAGTACGAAACAATATCCAAAGTCTATAGGCCAACGGTATGTAGCGGGTAAGCTTATCTGGACTGCTAACGCTGACTCTCTCCCCAGAGCTGACTTATATAAGAGGGAGCAGTCCATTACTAGTTAGAAGGTGGGTGCGCCCCAACAATTACCTATGTGTTTTTTTTTTAAATTTTGTTGAAACATATATATGAATATATAAGGAAACGGATCTACAGACCATAACAAAAAATAATAACATAAAAAAGGGGAAGGTCATAAATTACAGTAAAAATTAATGTGGATCAACATATTTCAAAAGATATTTATTTTTAGGACAACATGTCACCATTAATTTACTTCTCTTATGTAGGCATAAAAATAAATATATGTTGAAATACGTTGAACCAGATACATTTTTACAGCACCTGAAGATTGCATTGTATATGAAACTCTGAGTCGTCCTACTGGTGAGGGATAATATATATACTTATTAACATATACCTCATAGTTCTATTACATTATATCAAGCACTATTTTATTTACACGAGCTCAGTATATGTGATATCTTATATATAGATACACACACACACACATACATATATATATATATATACATATATATATATATATATATATATATATATATATATATATATATATATATAGTACTTGTATATTTGATCGACGGACATTGAACCGAATGGACCTTTAGCAGAAAATGTAGTGACGTACCAACATATATGTTGTATATTTATCGTAATGTGCTACATAAATCGATATTTATTTACTGTATTAATTTATAATTTTTCGTTTCTTTTTGACAGGCTTTTTCGAATATCTATTCTGTATATATTATATTCTACTTCAAATGTGACTGTAAGATGATAAGTATTTCAAGAAAAAGTACATTTTACTACAGGATTTTGACAGGATTCGAACCTGCATCCTATACGGAACCGTCATTTACATTTTAGGTAAGGCACGTCAGCGTAAATGACGGTTGCGTATATGATGCAGGTTCGAATCCTGTCAAAGAACGAATATTTTCTATGAAAATTTCTCGGACATTCAGGCCGGTAAATGTTATTTAATACTGTTTATCATAAACAGAGCATTTGCTTAAATACTTGTATCTATAAATAACAACGTTAAATATAAAAAATGTCTTTAATATATATATAAATATATATATATATATATAGGAAGCGGCGCGAACTTTGTATTAAGACGTGAAGGTAGTCTTTTGCCTTTTTTCTGTTTGCTTATAGACTTTTTATTTATATTTTTAGTAAATTTTCTTTTTGGTTTCAAATTGTTTTCTGACACATTATCTTTTTGGAATTTTGTGCATTGAATATTTATAAATTTTGTTTTCTTTCTTTCAGAGATCTAAAAACAATAGCTTGTCTAGAATATTGTGTGTGTGTGTGTGTGTCAAATCCCAGACATATGAAATATATACATATCAATAGTAGAAGGTTGTGTAAGAGTGTTTGGGTGCTTTTTTATGGAACTGAAATCATTTATGTTGTTTGTCAGTTTAGGACTTAAAAACGTCGTCGTATTTTCGATGTAGGTTTGTTGTTTATTACAATGTTGTAGATCTACATGCTCCCATAAGAAAAAAAAAAACAACCTTCTAACACTGTCATTCTAATAACATCTAATTGTAAAATATGTCTGATGATAATTGAAGCATTTTATATAACTCAGTTTAAGCTATGTCTCAACCGTACGCTATTTCAGAACGGAAAAGAACGGGTTGGGATTCTTCTAAAAAATCTAATAGGGAATTAATGCTACTTCAATCGAGCACGACTTAGAATTACTACTATTTTGACACAGTACAAGTTAGATATAAACACAGGTAAATATGCTAAATACAAATCCCTTGAACATGGCTACTGAACTGGCCAAAGGTGGTTGGAATAATAATCACTACATGCAGTTTCTACACATTCATCTATTTCTGAACAGTTTTCCCATAAAAGGAAAATACTACGGACATTGCTAGAAAGGACAACATTTCTTAGTCGTCACATTTAATGAAACATGTGTAAAAGAAAATTTTCTACAAACATATAGAATAAGGAAATAGATAGAAAGTGTATGTGTGAGAGAGAGAGATGGATAGAGAGAGAGAGAAAGAATTAGTCAATAATAATAATTCAAGTCTGAAGCGATCTGATCTTCTCAAGTCATTTATATTAATGTATATATTCTAAGTCTGTACAAATTTTAAAATAAATCGATATTTCAACAATTACTTCATATAGAATCTTATAACTAACGTTGTGCATATATAAACTTACAGTAATGAATTTTCTTTAACATAAAACCAGAGAAAAAATAATTATACTATCCTATATATACACATGCCTACGTGTAAGAGATAAAACTATAAGATAGATAGATAGATAGATAGATAGATAGATAGATAGACGTGTACTGGTTTGGGAAATATCTGAAGTAGCATGTTGTTGAAAATTATACATACAAAGATTAAGTGTATTTGAAATTTGAGAGAATGTTCGAAACATTGCATAGCCATACAAAATAATGAGCCTTTTTCATGTTCGTTTTCGCTGTTCTTCTCAATAGGAGCGACCATTTATATAGAGAAAATATCCGCGGAGGAAAGATATTTGATTGAGTAATCTCTATGAACGGAAATTAAAATCTTTTCGATGAGAGATTTGAATAAAATAGCAAAAGTGAATTTTATAAAGTAATTTTCTTCGTATCAAAGAATATTTTTGTTGTTTTTGGTATTTGAAACTTTGAACTAATAATTAAAATGTAGACTTTATTGACAGAAGACTTTATAATGTGATGTGGAAATGCAATTATTTCAACGTAACATGAAACTGAAAAAACATCGAGTTTAATTTTGCCTTCAAAATAAATTTCATTTAAAATTTCATTAAGATAATGCACATAATAATAATAGATAGACAGGGAGATAGATAGGCAGATAGAAACCGAGTTTGATAGATAGATAGAAAGAAAGACACTGTAATAAACAGACAGAGACAGACATACACTGAGTGTGATAGATAGATAGATAGATAGATAGATAGATAGATAGATAGATAGATAGATAGATAGAAATAAAACTAATGTGATAGATAAAAATAGAAAGTGATAGAAAGAAAGAAAGAAGTAAAGAAAGGTAGAAAGACACTGTGTAATAAACCGATAGAGACAGACATACACTGAGTGTGATAGATAGATAGATAGATAGATAGATAGATAGACTGACAGAGAGAAACCTTGTATGATAGAAAGAAAACTAATGTGATAGATGAAGATAGAAAGTGATACATAAATAGATAGATAGGTAGAAAGAAAGAAAGAACCAAGCTGTGTAATAAACCTATAGAGGTGTGTGTGTGTGTGTGTGTGTGTGTGTGTGTGTGTGTGTGTCAAATCCCAGACATATGAAATAGATACATATCAATAGCAGAAGGTTGTGTAAGAGTGTTTGGGTGCTTTCTTATGGAACTGAAATCATTTATGTTGTTTGTCAGTTTAGGACTTAAAAACGTCGTCGTATTTTCGATGTAGGTTTGTTGTTTATTACAATGTTGTAGATCTACATGCTCCCATAAGAAAAAAAAACAACCTTCTAAGACTGTCATTCTAATAACATCTAATTGTAAAATATGTCTGATGATAATTGAAGCATTTTATATAAAACAGTTTGAGCTATGTCTCAACCATACGCTATTTCAGAACGGAAAAGAACGTGTTGAGATTCTTCTAAAAAATCCAATATGGAATTAATGCTACTTCACTCGAGCACGACTTAGAATCACTACTATTTTGACACAGTACAAGTTAGATATAAACACAGGTAAATATGCTAACTACAAATCCCTTGAACATGGCTACTGAACTGGCCAAAAGTGGTTGTAATAATAATCACTACATGCAGTTTCTACACTGAGTGTAATAGATAGATAGAAAGATTGATAGATAGATAGAAAGACAGATACCTAATATGATAGATCGATAGAAAACAAATATCATAGATAGATAGAAAACTGATGTGATAGATAGATAGATAGATAGATAGATAGATAGATAGATAGGATTACGTCGGTCGCTGGTATTATTGAGATAACGTATCTTGTTTATTTCCAAGGGAACGTATATTTATATCAAGTGCAGTTATTGCGTAAACGTCTGTAATCGTCTACTTCAAGCCATTTTCCTGGTCATTACCGCGATGAAAGAGTATTATGGACTATTATTCACAATATCATTCTATTAAATAAAATAAAAAAATCACTAACGACAACCATAGTCTTTCAAGATCTTCAAGGTGACGTAACCTTTTGACAGTCTAATGCAAAACACCAAGAAGAATAGTTGGGAAAAAAGGCATCAATTTTTTTTTTTCTTATTCCTGCTAAGGAACAGAAATCCGAATGTTAGTGCTCGATTTAAAACGTTTGGATAATAATTATCTTCATCGAAATACATTGTGTGAAAATGATAAAAATTAAGCGTAAAAACTGTTGTTTCAAACGTCAAATAACTTTACTTTTATGAAAGATTTATGGCCAAATGAAAATAATATAATATAATATGGATGCACAATATGTAAAAATGGTCCTTTCGATTTTTAAAACGCAAAAATGGTTAAATGCATCATCTATAAGAAATATGGAATCAGCTATTTATATCACAATTCAATTCGATCAATCAAAAGTAAGCTTTTCATTTTATAACGTATAACCTTTATTGTTTAAGAAGTTGTAGTTTAGGCACGTTTGTGTTTCTTCAAAACCCACAAAGCTAAACTGGGGTTTATACTGCAAATTCTTAAACAGTAGGCTATAAATATTAAGATTTAAGTTCTACAAAGGTCACTTTCAATCCGTGCCTAACGATAGCCATGTACATTGTACCAAACGGTGAGGAATAAACAATCCTTATGAATATAATATATATATATATATATATATATATATATATATATATATATATTTATTAAAGACATTTTTATGTTTAACGTTCTTTTTTTTTTTTATAGATACGAGTATTTAAGTAAATGCTCTGTTTATAATAAACAGTATTAAATAACATTTACCGGCCTGAATGTCCGAGAAATTTTCATAGAAAATATTCGTCCTTTGACAGGATTCGAAAATTTCTCGGACATTCAGGCCGGTAAATGTTATTTAATACTCTTTTATTATAAACAGAGCATTTACTTTACTTGTATCTATAAAAACTTAAACATTATGTCTTTAATAAATAAATTGTCGGACTTTGTCCGTTTATATATATATATATATATATATATATATATATATATATATATATATATATATATATATATATATATTCATAAGTATTGTTTATTCTGGCGTCATGTATTTCAGGATACTCGTCTAGTAGGGTGGCTAGCCAATCCCCAATTCAGACGCTCGCTCAGGCACATATGTGTTTGTTCAACACAAATGGTTTATACTGCAAACATCCTGAGCAGACGTTAGTTACAGTTTTTGGTAGAGAGTATGTTTTCTAGCGTTATCAACAATCTGAACAAGGCTAGCACACTCAAATCCTGGGTCACGATGACTTGTGACTTTGTGCTAGCACAGTTATCGACGGTCCCAATGTATTCCGTCTATGCAATTCAATTTCACTCACAAGGCTTGGGTGAACGCGTGGTATGTTTTTCAAGTACTTTCCAACGGTACCGCAACCTGGTATCATTCCACTCCTGACCTATAAAACTAGAAAGTCTTTTTGACAAATCAACCGTGGTGAGATTCGAACCTGGATCTCATGGTCAGAAAGGAAACATTCTAAACCACTCGGTCACGCCCATATATATATATATATATATATATATATATATATATATATATATATATATATATATATATATATATATATATATATATATATATATATATATATATATATATATATATATATATATATATATATATATATATATATATATATTTGTGTGTGTGCTCATATTTATGTGTTTGAGTAAATACATATATATATATATATATATGTGCGTAGATATATATATACATATATATATGTGTGTGTGTGTATGTGTGTGTGCGTGTTGGTGCGTGCGTGTATGTATGCGTGTGTGTTTTTCAAGATGTGCAGAATGAGAAGTGTATATTCTGTCCAACAGATGTGTTTGTTAAAGTTTCTACAACGGTCACTTTCAACCCGTGCCTGACGAATGTCTTCTACGTTGTACCAAAGGTGAGGATATATATATATATATATATATATATATATATATATATATATATATATATATATATATATATATATATATACACTCACACATTTTACTTTTAAAGCCGTAAACCTCATGTTCTTTTTGCGTTAATTTATTTCCTCGTAGAAAGAAGAATACTTTACATCTCATTACGGCTTTAAAAGTTTTAACGAAAAGCTACATAAATTTGAAAATGACCTACTCAATATATTCAATAACACCTCCTTTCAAAAGAAGAAAAGTAACTTCCAAAAACATCTAGACCAAATAGTTAAAAGCATCAACGACAGCGACAAAATACCAGTTAAGTCCAACAAAACGTTAAACTTCTACAAATTGACGGCAGACGACTACAACAAATTAATTAAAACAAAATTGAATAAGACTTATAAAAAAGTTCATAATAACAATATTAATATGGCAGACAGTATCAACAGAACTCGTAAAATTATTACTGAAAAATTAAAAATAAGCAATAGGGTAGGGAAACTAGCTGAAAAGGAATGCAACATCACTCTTAAGGACTACAAACAGGCTTTTGAGGAAGACCCCACTACCAGAATGATAAACCCAACCAGACTTGACATAGGAAAGATAAGCTAGAAAGGATCACTAGGCAAATCAAAAGATGCCTTGGAATAACACTCTGGATTAATACCAAAGAAGTCATCAATTGGTTTACCAACATCGACAAAAAGCCTGATTGCACCCAAATACAGTTCAATATTATGGATTATTACCAGTCAGTATCAAGAGATCTCTTCACGACAGCCCTGGAGTTTGCTATTGTATATTCTGACTTAACTAAAGAAGAAATGAACATAATTCTTAGTGCCAAAAAAACAAAACAAAACAAAAAAATGTCCTCCTCTATAATGGGATTAAAAACACTAATGGCAATTTTGAGATCACCATGGGGCCTTTAGACTCTGCAGAGTATTCTGACCTTGTCGGTCTATTTATACTGTACAATCTAACTGCGCACCGTGAATTAGACATTAAGGACAACGAGCTTTAGAGAGATGGCGGGCTCATGGTAGTGTGGAGCTCCACAAATTTTAAAATAGATAAAATTAGAAAGATCATATATAGTGAATTCAGACAACTAAACATAAAAAACTACAGTCAATTCTAAATTAAAAAGGGTAAACTTCCTCGACGTAACTCTAGACTTAATGAACAACATATACCTACCTTACAGAAAATCTAAAACTAATCCCTTGTATGTACACCCTAAGTCAATCCACCCTCCATTTATAATTAAGCATATACCCACATCAATAGGGAAAAGAATCAGAATGAACTCCGCTAATAAGGAAATATTCCAACAACACAGTAATTTTTATAACACAGCCCAGAAAAATAGCGGATACAAAAACGCTAACATAAATTATAGAAACAGTAGTACTAACCAGAAGAAAAACAGGAAAAGGAAAACCTTTTGGTATACCCCTCCGTTCAACCAAATTGTTAGTATTAAGCTAGGACATAAGTTCCTAGCTTTAATTGAAAAACACTTTCCTACTAATAGCAGACTTAGCAAGATCTTTAATAAAAACCACCTTAAAATTAAGTTACAGATGCACTGAAAATCTAGAAAGAACCATAAAAAAACATAATAATAAAATCCTGGAAAAACACGCATGCCAAAATAGTATTAATAAAAATCCTAAACTAAAATTAGACAAAAATAATGAAAAATTATGTGATTGTAGAAACCCTGAAGATTGCTCGTTGGAAAATAAATGCTGCCCAATATCTATGGTATAACAATGCACTATCGCATCCATTGAGAGTCCTAACACTAATAGGATTGTTTCAACGAAGAATGAATTTAAAATTAGATGGAGACAACAAAAAAGCTCTTTCAATAATATTAGAAATAGAAATCAGACATCTCTATCCAAATATTTTTGGCATTTAAAGGAAATGATAAAACTACAAAAGTAAAATGGAAAATAATAAATAGAACAAGAACTTGTAAAACCTGGGATGATCCATGCCCTTTATGCCTACATGAAAAACTACACATTATTAAGTTTCTAAATAATCAAAATTTATTAAACAATAGACAGGAGTTAACGGTTTTCTGTCGACATCAACAAATTTTCGCATTAAATAATTAGCATAAAAAAAATAAAAAATAAATTTCATATTCTAATAAAAGGTTTAAAAGCTTAGAAAGATAGAAAAATGCCCTTTAGGAAGTCGCCAAAAAACAAATTGTAGTTCAGTGCGACGTGTTTAAGTACGGAACAGCTCTTTAGGAAAAAAATAAAAGAATAAATAAATAAATAAAATAAAACAAAATTCTCTTAACGACATATTATGGTGCCAAAAGTAATCTTTCGTTTTGACTGACCAGACGATGTACGCACATGAATGCCATCATATCTCTTGACCACAGCTTGACCTCTTTCCAAGGGTGATTGATATGTGGATAAAAATTAAATGTTAGGCCGCTAACCAGAATGGTCGGCCCAGCCATTTCCATAGTAATTAATTTTGCGAATGAACATGCTTATAAAGATGCGTAAATTTCAAGATTGGTTATTCCTAAATTTTCGCTTGAGGATGAAAAAGGGCTTGATACTTTAACTCAATTTAATTTTAATAATTATATTGAGGTTTTAGGCTCTCATTTTTGAAACATGAGAACTCTTATATAGCGAAGGAATAATATTTAAAAAAATAATCATAGGTGATATATATATATATATATATATATATGACCAAGTGTAGGGTTGGAGTATACGGAATATAATAATATATTATATATTATTATAATTCCAATAACCAAAAAATACTATTCTTAAAAGTGTGCTCAATACGGAGTAGAG